TTGGGCAAGATGCTTTAATTTTATCTTTTAAAACTAGACCTGCTTTATTAGATAAGCGAAATAAATTTACAACTTCTTTAATTGTTCCTATGCAATTTCGGATGGATGATATTTTGCACGCGTGGGTAATAGCTAAATTTAAATTATGATTAGCGCAGTGGACGTAAATAACTTCCGGATATAATTCTCGAACTTTGGCAGCACAACCGTTGAACTTTCCACTCATTGCACGCGCCCCATCATAGCCTAAAATTTTTTATAAATGTAAAATATAACAAATGAATATATATATATAAATTATAAATTTATTATAAATATTAACACATACCTTGTCCTCTCATATTAACCAAGTTTATGCCGATGTCCTTCATCTTAGTCAGCAATGTATTTGCAAGACCTTTTCCGGTAACATCCTCAACAGGAATAAAGCACAAAAAGTCTTCTCGAATTATATATTCATCGTCAATCTTATCAATAAATCGAACGCATATTGAAAATTGTTCAATGCCACTCACATCCGTACAGCAACACTAACCGTCAGCAATAACAGAAAAGCATCCAGATCTATTTACACGTTGTACGATATTTGTTGTTATTTGTTTCCCAGCTATATCAATTATTTCATTTTGAATGCGGAAGCTTAAATATGTTGCATTTGATCCTGCAGTATTCAAATGATTTGCCAAAATTTGATCACCACTGTCTAGAGCATAACGAAGTAATGCTCTGAAATTTCCATCGTTTTCTTCCGGCATTTTTAATGATAAAGAACCCTGATCTCGATGACCTCTTAATGGTAATCCTTGCCTTCCACACAGCAAAATGGCTCGAATGATTGGAATTAACTTTTGTCTGTTTTCAAGTAGTTGCATTTTTCGCCCTTTGTCAATTTCGCTGATCACGTCATTTTTTCGGTTTTCATAAATCAATTTAAAATTTTGTCCATCTTCCATGGCGTCAAGGTGATATTTTTTTGTTTGGTGTTCTCTAAATTTTTCGAGTGCTTTCTTCCAATCTCGAAACGCAGTATGAACCAATACATTAATGTTTTGATGACCTCCTTTTCCTATGTAATTTGATCCAAACGAGACACAATAACGGCAGTAAGCTCCGTCTTCTGCAGCAGAATACACCAACCACACAAATGAGCGTAACCACGAATGCTGAAATTTCCAATTTCGTTTGCCACTAGTCGGAAACTTGAAGTCTATATCAGGTATCCAATAATGCATAAGAACTTCGTATTTTTTAATGTCGTTCAAATTTTTTCGACAAAAATTTGCAATATCATTTGGAAAAGTCTATGGATAATATAATAATGAATAATATTATTTTATATTTAGGAAATTTTACTATAGGTAGTGTGTGGGTATACATATAATAATTAGGCTTTTGATATTATAATATTAGCTTTGTAAGTACATAATTTGAATTATGTAACAACGAATCGATTTTTAATTAAATTCCGACAATTAACATATTTGAAAAAAATTTTTGGCATTTTATATTGTATTTTTTTGACATTTTTTTTAGGTTTTTAGTGCATTAAATTCACAGCCCTAATTATAATATAAAATTTAAAACTAAATAAATAATTACATAGATAGTTAACAATAACTCACATTACGACTTGCATCGGTTGCATCAGATGTTACTATCTCGAGTTTTCGTTTTTTTGTTGATGGACTGTCTACGGACGATTTGTCTAAATCCACATCAATTGGAACATTCGGAACTGAGGTAGTATTTTTATTCGTTGGTTTAAAAAAATTTAAAATTGAACTCATTTTTGTTTTATAAACTCGTGTTTGCGTCAAATATTACGTTGTGACAATACGTAAATCAAAACTGTAGTGAATACAGTGAAATATATCGCGAGTTCGTTGGCAGTGTGATTTATCTTTATATTGAACAATGAACTTTCTAGATAATACGGGTTGTTACGAATTTCCCGTAGTATATCGATAGCGACGATAATAATTATACGCGCGTTGTCTACATCACGTACATCATTAAATTGACAGCCAATTTTTCGATCAGTTATTAATAACATTTTTACTGCATTTTTCAGTATATTCATTGTGTAATGATAATTTTATTGTGTTACAATATTATAATAATATTGTTTTATAGCCCATAATTTATTTAAATTTATTTATTAGGTATACATTTGTAGGTCAGGTAATTTACTTTTTGTTCCTGATATTTCGGGGGGGGGGGGGGGGGGGGG